TTTCCTTCTCGAAAGATCTAATATGATTTTTGCAGTTTTTGGCCTTGTTAACTAAATCATAAAAAAGTCTAGGGTTATCTTAGCACTTACTTATGATGTTTCGTTCGTCAGTGCAAAGGGTTTTATAAATAAATCTTTTGATTTTCCGTGAGGCTTTGTTAAACTTTGGCTTTACTAGGTGTTTTCGGTCTCGGGATGCTGCAAGAAGTTGGTAAAAAATAGCAGGTTTCTTTTTTGATGCTTGCATAACGCCATCATTAAGTCATTTCGGGTCTGTTCTAATTGAGAATAATTTTCGGCGAGTTAGAGTGAATGATGATATGGCGGTGAGATACACTTTAGATAGATTTGTATAACACTGGTCAACCATCAGGTTAGCAAATTCCAGGACCCAATTAATGATGTTGAAGTAGTTAGTTAATAAATCCCAACAGAGCATAGCATGTAGATGATTTTTATGAGTGGTTCCAAGAGGGGAATCAACTTTTACATTGCAAATGTATGACGGATCATTTGATAACACAAGGTCAAGTTGATTTTTAATAAATGTTGGTTTTAGAACAAACTGAGTGAGCAGACAGTCTTGAATTGTTTTGAGGAATGCATTTGCCTGTGGATTGGATTCTGTAGAGAATCCAACAGAGCTATTCCATTTGATTCCGGGGTAGTTGAAATATCCAACGATAAGAAGTTTAGTGAATTTCTTTTGCTCAACTAGACAAGAAGCTTGACGGATCGAACGGTTGATGACATTGTTTATTGCAGGTTCGGAGTTAGGAGTCCATAAATACATCCTTATAGAATGTGTTCAGAGCCAATATTTATTTGAACCCAATATCTGTTCGCTACCAGTTCCATTGAGAGTTTTGTCATTTTTGAATTTGAAAGGGTCGAACCATGTCACACAGAAACAGAGTACATCTGGATAGTTTTTCAGAACAAGTAGAAAGTTAAGTTCGTCAAATTTTTTTGAGAGCAAGGTCGGATTTGTATAGAGGCATTTTAGTAGTTTAGGAAAAGGTGAAATATTGAAGGTGGCTGATAAGTTTGGTGGTTATGGATGCTGGGCTAAAGAATTTTAACAAGAAAGTTGTTAAACGTATTAAAATTTGATATGAATGAGAAATAAAAACTTTGGATTATATGAGTTACTGCAAAAATTCATTTTGCATTAAAAGTATAAAAGGAATAAAAAAAGTATCAAAGTTTTTTTTTTTTTTAAATTTATTTTTATTTGAAGCGATTTAAAAGAGTACTTTTTAAAACTTTTTAAAATTTTATTCAAAAGAGTTTTTCAAAAAGATTCTGGCAATGTTTTTAAAATATCTATTTTTTATGTAACTAGCTTTTAGTACCGCCCGAAAAAACTTACCTCCCTAAGCGCCCGCCTAATTGTTCGGGTCATGAAGAAAGTGAAAAACATCTGACATAATACCTCGCCTTTCATTTATTTGTAATATAAATACATTCTTACGTTTGCTGCTTAAAAAAAGTGTTTTGCTGAGTTAGTTCGTATAACATAAATTGTAATGTTATATCAGCTGGGTAAAGACTAAGATCTTTGCAACACAATGCTTCTACAGCAACTTTTAAAGACTGCAAGACTGATACTATGTCTAATAATAAGCCAATATTGTTTTTGTCAACTGTTATTTTAGACCATAAATCAATTAGACTTTTTGGTATGGGATTTTTAACTTTATAAAAACGCTCCAACATTGTTAGTATGCCACTACAACGGGTTCGAGTGTCCAAAATTAATAAAAGTTCCTTACTCAGTTCCCCTTTGATATTTTTTTGCAGTATTTTTGTCAGTCATAGGCAAAATATTTTAACAATTTGGCGAATCTTTTCTATCAGCAGACCATTACTTCCACACCTAATAATCGGATCAATGTTCATTTTAGATAGTTGCTTAAAACTACCCACATCTTCTTCTTCCCCGTCATTCAAAAAATATTCTTGATCTAAATAAGTTGATTTTTCAAATGTTTTAAGTTTTTTACTTTAAAAGGCAATATATTTATCAGCATACATTGAACTTTGACCTCTAGCAAGACCAAGACTCCAAAATTTGTCAAACGCATGCAGGAGCGGATCCAGCATTTTTTGGCCTTTGAGATATCTAACTTCTAGACATGGAGTAAACTCCAAATATTTATATGTTTATACTTATGTCAAACAAAGATGCTTTGCAAAAAATTGCAATGGTTGGAACTGGGAACAAAAAAAATCCAAAATTTTGCCCCCTCTGCCCCAAACGTGAGAGCAACAAGATGATGAAATATTTTTGTTATTATTTTATTTAGACTTATATTTATTAATAAATTTTAAATTTCATAGTAAAATATTTTAGCGTTCAAAATTTATGACCATATAAAGTTTGCAACCCTCTCAAACTTTATATGGTCATAATTTTTGAACACTAAAATATTTTACGATGAAAATAAAAATTTTTCGATGAGTATAAGTCTAGTTGAAAATAGTACAAAAATATTTCATTAACTTGTCGCTCTCACGTTTGGGGCATGGGGACAAAACTTTGGAGTTTTTTTGTTCCCAGTCTCTAACCATCGCAATTTTTTTTGCAAACCTTCATTATTTAACATAAATATAAATATAAAAATGTTTAGACTTAGCTCCATTTCTCGAAGCTAGATATTTCGAAGACTAAAAAATGCTGGATCCGGCCCTGCATGCATGTAGGTCGAGAAGAAACAACCTTGAGAATCGGCTCGATTGAAAATGAAACAAAAGTTGGAGTGATAGTGAAGCAAGTTATTTAAAGAAACATTTAGAATGAAAGAAATTAAAATAGTAAGAGCTCGTAGAACTGGAACCGTGACGTGAAAAAGTCATATCTATAGTATTAAAATTGATTAATTAAAAAGATAAGGTAAGCATACTAAAAAACTTACCAAAACTAAAAGGAAAAAACATTTATATCAACAAGGGTATTGTGCAGAAACGGTACAAATAAGAAAGGAGTCACAGATGGGAATGAAAAAAGTTTGAGTGGAAAATTTGCGTATATATCATACAACAGGTTGATCGTTCGTTAAACATTATTTATTTAGAAATATAAAATATTATTTTTCTTTGGTCTCCCAAAGAAAAATAATATTTTATATTTCTTTTAGTTTAATTAAACGTTATAACGGTTAATAATTACCGTTATAACGGTATCTTGTTGTTTTTTTTTTTCTGTAGTAATTTTGGGTGCCCTTATGGTCTTATCATAGAGCACCGCGGGAGAGCATTTAACAAGAAGTTCACGCCTCCTTCCGTACCAATGTCGTTTGTTGTTTTTATTTACAATAGTTAAAAAAAGACGATGATTTTCAAGTTATGGTCGTTTTTTTTTCGAATTTAGTCGGCTTATCGGGATTCGCCACAATTCAGCAGGGTAAATTTAAGTTTTAGGGACCGTTATTTTTTTTGTTATTTTTTAAAGAAACCAGTCGGTTCCTTTAAAAAAAAAAAAAGAGAAACTTAATTATAAGTTTAAAATACAAAATCTTGGCTTAAAAGTAATGAAAAAACTTTTAACTGTTTTGTAAACAATACAGATTGTGAGTTGTTATGCGTTGCGATAATATACAAACTTGCAAGAAACGTTGTCATCAATGCTATTTATAGACAGCCAGCTGGTAGTTTAAAAGCATTCAAAACTTATCTGCGCATATTCTTAAACACAAAAAGTATATTGCCAAAACATGTTTACGTAGTTGCAGATATGAACATTGACTCAATTACGCTTTAAACAGTAGTGCAAAATTTTTTTATTGATACTCTTCTCGAATATAATCTTATCTTAAATATAAAAAAAGCAACAAGAGTAACTAAAATATCATCAACATTATTAGATAACGTAATAACTAACAATTTTCACAACAGCTGTTATAAAACGGGCATTATCAGGACTGACCTAACTAATCATTTCCCTATATACTTAATAATGATAGTGTAACTCTTAATATTAATAGTAACCTTGAATCAACAATATTCATGAGACAAACCAATGAAATTTCCATATGCCATGAATAAAGACTAGCTGATCTTGATTATAAGGATAATGAACAAACAAATATAAGTAATGTCTTACAATCACAGCACACAATAACATCTGAGTCAGTAAGACCATATCCAAAAGCTCCACCTCCTAAAAAAACTAATAAAGGCAGAAAAAGTGGGAAATCTAAGATTCTTACTGACACCCCAGAAACAGAAGAAATCAAAAAGTCTTATCTTTTGCACAAGAAAAAAATTGAAACCTCATTAGGAATTTCAAAACAAAAACTTCTAAAATTAAATCTAAACCCTCAAAACTAAAACGAAAAATACTTTAATCTATGTTGAGTTATTGTAACTTTTAACTATTTTGATTTCTGATTTTCAGATTTTGTTGCTTGTAACGAGTGTTTTAAAATATAACAATAAAAACAAAATTGTTTCTATAACTCACTCAGCTCCTTTAGGGAATGATAAACAGGTCAGCATTTATTAAAGTGTTGTTGTCTAATGAATGATTATAAGTCTTCTAACGAACATCCATTAGATTATATCAAAAAGGAAATTATGAACCATTTTCTCGCCATTTCAATAATGTAGATTGAGAAAATGGATTTAAAAGTACATCTAAAAATGAAATGTATGATTTATTATTGTATCATTACAATTATGCAACTAATCTGTTTATCCCAAGAATTAATTATCAAAATAGAAGGAACAAAAACGAATGGATTATTCCTGAATTGAAACATTTAGAAAGTACTATAGCTAGCAAGTTCAAATCAAATCCTAAATTGCTTTATAAATATATCAATGAGAAGAAAGCAGTGAAAACTCAAATTCGAGCTCTGGAAATTAATAATAGGGAAATCGTAAATGATCAATTCACTATAGCTACTGAACTAAATAAATATTTTCATTCTGTGTATGTTAATGATAATTGTACAAGTATTATTGAGTTTCATAATATACCTTCAAATTTATTATTAAACACAGTTTTTATAACACAAAACGATGTTCAAACTAGACTTCAAGCACTTGATAAATCGAAATCGGTCGGTTTTGATTTTGTTCATCCATATGTTTTAAAAGAATGCAGCTCGTCAATATCATACCCATTATATTTAATTTCAAAAAATCGATGGAAACAGGTACCCTACCAGATATGTGAAGAAGGCAAATGTAATGCCACTTTTAAAAAAAGGAAGCAAATTAAAAGCATCTAACTACAGACCTGTCTCGTTAACTTCAATACCATGTAAAGTGTTAGAAAGAATAATAACTGATTGTATCATGCAACATCTCATAAAAAATAATTTACTTTCAAAAAAAAAAACATGGCTTTATGAAAAGCTGTACAACAAACCTGTTAGAATACCTAGATATTTTAACAGATGCGCTCTACAATGGAACATCAGTAGATGTATTGTACACAGACTTTTAAAAAGCTTTTGATAGTATTTCAGATAAAAAATTATTATCAAAGCTATTGACTTTTGGTATTTCTGGTAAACTTCTTACGTAATAGTCTGTTTCTTAGCTATTAGAAAACAAAGAGTGGTTTTAGGTAATAGTGTGACAGATTGGGTTGATGTACTTAGTGGTGTACCACAAGGGTCTGTTCTTGGTCCTCTCCTTTTTCTGGTATTTATAAATGATTTAACAGAAAATTATATCAATGAATGTTGTTTATATGGTGATGATAACAAGATAATTGCGCTTATTTTTTCTCAAAATGATTCACAATTTTTTCAAAATGATATAAATAAACTTGACGAATGGTCGACAAAATGGAAATTAGGATTAAATTTTGAAAAATGTACAACTATGCACTTTGGTTCAAATAATAAAGAACATTCATATTTTATGAACAATAACAATACATTAATGGAAATTGAAAAGTCATAACTAGAAAAACACATTGGTGTTTATATATCAAGTGATTTAAAATGGGCTAAACAAGTAAAATATGCAGCTAGTAAAGCAAATAGTATGCTCTGATTAATAAATAACACATTCAAGTACAAGGATAAAGATCTAATAAAAACACTGTATTGTACATATGTTAGACCAAATTTAGAGTTTTCAATTCAAGCATGGAGTCCGTATTATACAAAAAATATTAATGAACTAGAAAAAGTCCAACAAAAAGCTACCAAAATGATACCGGAGCTAAGACTTCTTGAGTTTGAAAAAAGATTGGAAATTTTGGGTTTGACTACTTTGGAGACTAGAAGACTAAGGTGCGACTTGATCCAGCAATTCAAAATATTTAAAGGTATTAAAATCGTTGATATTAAACAAAATCAAACAATGAACTCTATTTGCTCATCAGGTCCTGCAGCTAACATTAGATGAGCAAAACATCGAATGAAACCTGAATTGGTCAGAAATTGTTTAAAAAGCCAATATTTTTTCAACAATAGGGTCGTTGATGGATGAAATAGTCTACCAGCCGAGGTTGTTCGATCTACTAGAGTTAAAAGCTTCAAATTAAATTTGCAATCGGTCGACTTAGAAGCAATAACAAATAAGATAAAAACCAAGAAAGCTTATTATTAACGTTTTTATTATTTAGTGACTGAACTAACTTGTTCATTAATTAATTTATACCGCCTGTCATAGATATTGCTTGGCGTTTTATCTCAATATCATTAATTATTATTATTATATATATATTTTCTTTATTACGTTGTTAATATTTTTTCTTAACTTTAATTTATGTTGATCTTAACTTATGCTTTATTTTTTTACACAATGTTTTGTTTTTTCACAGTTTACATCTTAAAGGTCTGATTTTGTTGCTGGTAAAGATTATTTTAAAAATTATTTGATTTGAGGTTGTTTTTTTTACTACAGGGTGCACACGCTTCCTAATAAATCCTAAATTCTCCTAATATTTGAAAGTTTCCCGATAAAATTATAATCATATGACTTTTTTTGGTCTACTCTTTAGAGTGATTTTAAGATTAGATAGTATAGAAAATATATTTAATGCTTGCTACTTGAAACTTAAACATAATGAAATTTAAAAATAAATCAGCTCTATTTAAAAAAAAAGTAATTTAAGCACTAATTATTTACATTTGCCAGAAAAAAATTCAAAGCTGCCTCATGCAAATTCAAAACTGCCCCAAGCTGGGACAGGTTTGAATATTTTCTTGCACCTTACTAGAACGAGAATACTGACTTAATTTTTGACTTACAATTAATACAAGTGAAGTAATTTCTTTACTTAATGATCATTTTAACGTTCAAAATAAAAAAAGTTGTTAAAATAATTTTTTTTTTAATTTATAATAAAAAGTGTTCAATGGTGTCTCCTCTCCCCTATTAAAAATACAATCGTTAATCACACCCTAGCATATTATAAAACTTGCCACTTAAAGTTATTATTTCTATAACGAACGCTAACTGCTCCTCTAGCGTTTGAAGACGTAAAATTAATATAGGAAAATACTATTTAAATTCTTATAGAGGTAAGTAAGTAGTTTATGATAAACAAGTCCAAGATATTAAAATTAGAAAATCAACAAAATATTTAGTCTTTATTTTTTGAAAGATATCCAAAATACAATCTTTCATTAATAAACAACAACATACAAAACTCAATCTTTTGTGAAAAGCATACGAAATGCAATCTTTTGGTTTTGAATAACAGGCAGAATATATTGTGTGCAAAGTAAAGAAATAGCAGGATTATTTGTAGGGGAGAAGTGGAACAGCCTGAAATTTCTAATTAGGAGTGGTGCCTAAATACTGTTATTCAATGTATTCATTTAAATTTCTTCTCTTCTATTTAGCAGATATTGCTTTGTTTCCTTGCGTGCGCTAGAAACCCTAACTTTGAAATATACCTTGAGAAAGTGTTAACATTGAGGTAAAGTGGGACAGAAAAAAGAAACATTTATGCCCCGCTTCTTCCAGTTACCATGTAAAAATGTTGAACATTTTTATGTTAATTAGGTGATTTTATGATTTTATTAGTTTCTATTTAATAATTTGTGTTAAAATGTTGTTTTAAATTTATTTGTCCCACTTATACTCACACTTGTTCCACTTTACCCCAATGGCACGGTTTCTCTAAAAGCAAAAATTTATATACTTAGTTATAATTGGCTGGAAACCTAAGGGTATTGAATCGGTGCGAAAAAAGAAGATTTATTAGTAAAAACTTGTTTGATTCAGTTTATACATCAAATAAAAAAGGTATTGCAATTACCTTTAAAAAAATTTACGAGTCTTTTCTCCACTTTTCCTTATAAATAGATAGATTTAATCTTTTTTTCGTTAATATAACTTTTCTTTTTTTTTTACAAAATTGTTATCGTAAAAAAAGATTGGAGCAGAAGACATAAGACATAGGGCAAGATAAGACTATTATCATCTTGCCTCATATAACATAGAATATCAAAAAATCAAAACCTAAAAACTATTGGTTAAGTCCAACGTAAAAATAGTTTAGGACAAGCATGAGCAGTTCTATCAAGTTTGGACTTTTTTTATTTTGCTGCCACCTCACTGCGTCAAATTGTTATGATATCACCAAGTGCGTCTCGCATCTTAAACTAAAAAATGTTTACAATTTTGAAGTTGAAACTTTTTAGTTATTTCCGTGAAGTTGCTACCTTAAAATGAGCCTTCATTTTTTCATAAGTTCAATAAGGCAATTGTGGCGCAGTGGTTAGAGTTCTGGCTCAGAACTAAGACGTCCGACGTTCGATGCCGGCTCTAACCCAATAAGCGACATTGGTAAGGAAGAAGGCTTTTAAGACTTGGCATTTAACTTGTTAGTCAAATGCTCTTCCACAGTGCTCTGTGATATAACGTTTAGACTTCTGACTTTGATAACCACACAGAAAAAACAAAATTGCGTTTGTGTTTATAAAAATATCTCGGGACAGGTTTGAAAAAATGAGTTAATATCCTTGGAGTTGTACGGAACTGTTATCACGAAAGTACCTAGAATAGAACTGTTTTATAACCAATACTTAAGAATGTAGATTATCTATTTTAAAAAGTTTGAATAAGGAGTAAATGGTACATTTGGTGAACCACTAGATCTATAATATAAGAAGACTTTTTATCTAGGATAGACAAAATCTGTTGCGTTAGCTTAAATTCAAAGTAGTTCTAAACATATTCAAACATGCAAACTACTGTTTGTAAGTAAGTATGATATACTTTTTTCCTTTACTTTTAATGCTTTTCTTATATACATTCACATAGTACTTGAATAAAGTCACACTGTGATCTGAAAAATACATGTAACAAGATCTCATTGCCAAAATGTAATCAAAACATCGACGAAAACCACACATCAAAAAAAATGTTTTGCAGCCATGGCCCAGTGGTTACAGTTCTGGCTAGGAAACAAGAGTTTTGAGGTTGATGCCAGCTCTAGTTGCATTTGCAACATTGGTAAGGAAGAAGGTGTCAACTTCCTAGTTCAATGCTCTTCCATGATGCTCTGTAATAAAACAAAAATAAAATAAAATAGACCATTAGATCTTTTTGGAGCGCTATAATAACTAAATAAAAGTCTTTTGTCCATTGATTTAACGTTTAGCACAAAACATTGTGGAAGAAGAATAGCTAAAATATCATGAGTGTTTTAATAGGATAATTTTACTGAATGACTCTTAGTAAGACTTAACAAAGTTTTTTAAACAATTAAAGAACCTTGTGAAATTCAGGTATTTTGTAGATTGTTGCCAGATGTTTTCAGAACGTTGCTGTTATTAAAGCCTTGTTCCTTCTATAAAACTCTACTTTGTTTTTGCAGTGGTACATTTTGAAGTACTGTGTGATGATGCATATGTGGCTAGAGCCGGCTTCGATCCACGGATCTGTATATTTAGTCTGTCCATATACGCATTTTATTGAATAACTCATCATTTAAGAAGTCAGAGTATACTTGTTTTAATAGGTTACTAATCCATTTTGGTTCCATCTTGATTTATTAATTGCACATTTTGGTAATCTTTAATTGCACATTGTACTTTGAAGTACAATTTAATTTGTTATATTGACATTGATACTAATTATTTTAACTCCTCGACAAAAACAGTAGATTAATTCTTGATTTAATTATTTAATCCAGTAGCATAAAAGGGTTAAACCAATTCCAAACCAGGTTTATTTCGCATACTATAAATCGCATTTACTACTTTACTTTTTCCGCTTAACGCTTCTTTGAATTTTTTGATTTAACTACATTCCCGTTTTACTTTTTTATTATTATTTTTTAACACACTCTAGTTTTTGTGAAATTATCCCATACACTATTTACAGCTTAATATTTACTACTTCTTGAAGCAATCTTAGATAAGCTAAATTATCTATCTGTCTTTATCTTCAAGATAATGAGTATAAATAATATTAAAATATTCTATTGCGCGTGCAAAAACAGCACCAGCTGCTTCTTTTTAAGATTGTTAATCTTTCGGATAGGAAGGAGGTGTGAACATTCGATTAAATGTACGCGATGCTCTGTGATAAGACCGTGAGGACTTCTTGGGGCACCTAAATAAAATATGAGCAGCCGTGGCGCAGTGGTTAGAGTTCTGGCTCAGAACATGTAAGCGACATTGGTAAGGAAGGAAGTGTGAACTTCTAGTTAAATGTTCTCCCGCGGTGCTCTGTGATAAGATCGTAAGCACTTCTGGGAGCATCTAAATAACCTAAAAATAAAAATAAAATTTTCTTCTTGGTAAAAACCTGATGCATACAGATATATTATCAACAATGGTATTGAAACTGTAACATCTAAACATCTGACAAAATCATTTTTATTCACAGTGTTATATACTACTTGATTTCAATTTTACAGTTGCATTAATTACTTTGTATTTTGTGCAACTTGCTGTCTTTTCTGTTGCAACCATTAAAAAAAAAATTTATACTTTTGTCCGAAATTTTGTTTATTAATTACTTTTATATTATTTCTTGTTAATCTATAGTTGGATGCAGTTGAATAAAAACTTTATAATCTAAAGATTTTTGTAAAGACCCGTAAAAATATGGGTCTATTCCACACTGACCTTTTCTATACTTTTTCCTTATATATATATCCTAGCTTTCCGAACCCATAAAATACGGGTCTTTACCAAATCTACCGTTCTATACTTGTCTATTCCACACCGATCATTTCTATACCTATGATTTGTTTACTTCAATATTTTTACGTAAAATAATTCATTTTAAAAAATTGCAATAGGAGCAAAAAAAAATGAAAATGCGCACCCTTTCAGCATACCTAGAGCTTATAAGAAATTTATTTTAAGTTTTGTTTTTCTCCTAAATGCTTATCATTGATAGCTCAGTGGTTTAGTACGCTGTCATCTGTGTCGTTTTGAATATTCCTCCCCTATAAAGTTTTGAATATGTTTCAATCTTGATGTGCTCATAGCAATATTTATAGCAAAATTTTTATTATAGTATATATCTATAATAATTATAGCATTGTTTATAGCAAAAAAATAATTGTATAGCAAAAAAATTTTCTAATTGTTAAAATAAAATTCAAAAGTTCTGTCATTATTATAGATTTATTATACACGATTGTTCCATATACTGCCATATAAAGACGTTTGCTTTAACAACGCTTTTAGCGTTGCGTATTTTTATAAAACACACAACGCTATGCAAATAGCAGAACTAAGAAGATCTTATAAGCTATTAAAAACTATAAACTATAAAGGGATTTGTCCATTTATTTTTAAAAAAGAAGGAGATCTTCAGTTATGTTAGGTGGAGATTTTCATTAAACTTGATGAGCTATTTTGATTTTTTATTTAACATATGACTCTATAAAAGAAAATTTTGATCTTTTTTGTTTTGTTCATTAGAAAAATTTAGCGTTGCGTAATTTATGGAAAACCCCTTATTTAAAAGTTTAGATTAGGGATCACCAAAAAAGTATATAAAGCCAAAAAATAATGGAGTATAATACTATTTTGATGGTTATCTAAATTCTGTCGTTGTTGCGCACTCGGTTTAGAATGTTTAACGGGGGGAGGGGGGGGGAGGGGGCGGTAAAATAGCTGTAAAACTTTAAATTTCTTTATAGTATCAATATTAAATAACTTTATTTTTAAAAATATTTATATTAATAAATTGGTTTAATTTAAGTATAAAATTAGAATTTACAATTATGTTCTTACAAAATATACTTTTTAAACCCTCTTACTGTTTGTAAGTTGAGGTCGCTGCGTGGCAAGTTCTGTTGGCAAGTTGAGGTCGCTGCATATTTAAATCATCAGCTTGCTTTATTTTTTAATTTTTGTTATTTAAAATGCAAAGCAAAACAACTTTACAGTTTTATAGATTTTATATTCTATATATAAACATGTTGTATACTCATATTTCTTGCACAAATTCAACTTAGCTGTAAAAAAACTTGAAGTGCAAAACTAAAATAACATAAATATCTCAATCATGACACATACGCAACAAATATCCCCTCTTTTTTTAATGTTTTTAGAATTTTTAGCTTTTTTAAAAATCTTTTTGTTTGTTAAAGTGTATAATATCGTTACATATGTTTGTATATAATCTTTATAAAAATTCACAAGTATTTTGTATTTTGAAAATCTAAAAAAATTTTAAATAAAAGGTCGCCGGTGGTTGTACTCGAACCATGGCTTTTTAGTTCAGATAGCTCAGCGCGCTAACCATTTGACCATGCTGGCACGTTGATTATTGGAATTTTAAAACTATATTAAAATTTTTTCTAACGAAAAATAATGTTGTAGATCAAAAATTAAGGAGAGGTTGACGAAATGCAGTTTTCAAGCGAAAGTAAAACTGTAAAACTTGATATATGTTTTAGTATGTTTTAACATTACATAATTTGAAGTTTACGTATGTTAGATATTTGCATACACTTTTGTTCACGTTTTCTTATAAAACAAAGCTGCTGCAACTCTTTTTCGCCATTACCTCGGTTGCAATGGCTGCCAAGAGTTCTTTGTCAAACATGCTTGAAAGGGCACTACTACTAATAATTTCAGCATTATTATATAGATTACGTCGGTTGGAATCTTATATGACAATCTCACGATGTAATTAATGCTTATGAATTATCTTTGAACCAATTTTGTAAAATGTATAATAAAGCATTTGCTTTAATAGTAGAAGTAATAACTTCTAGTTATTTTTATCCCCATGACCAAAGGGCTACTAAAATCATCAAGGAAAAAACAAAAATTGTATGAAAAATATTTAAAACATAAAACTTATAAAAGTGAAATTAATTACAAAAACTGTAAAAATTTATTTGAAAAAAATTAAAAAAAGGTCAATTGATCTTTTTTTATTTTTTTTTCAAATAAATTTCAAATAAAAAACATAATAATTAACTTTTAAAAGTTAATTAGTATGCTAAATTGATTTTTTTTTTTTTTTTTTATTGTTTATTTTGCCGTTTAATAATATACAGTTTCAAAGCATATTAATAAAAATAAATATTGGCGGGGCAAGAAGAAGACTTATTTAGCCTTATCACCGAGCCCCATTCTCACGTATTTACAAAAACCGTAATATTTAAATATCTATAGTTAACAAACTATTTATTAAAAAAGTTAACAAAATAGTTATATAAAAAGTTTATATAATAGTTATATAAAATAGTTATATAAAATAGTTATATAAAAAGTTATAATAAAAATAGTTAACAAACTATTTATTAAAAAAAGAAAATTATAAAAGTAAAATAGATAAAAATTCGTTGTCATTTAAAGAAAAAATAAAAAGAATCAACAAAAAGAATCAAAATTTAAAGAAAGAGTAAGATCAAGTGAAAATAAATAAATAAATAAGACATTATCATTTGCTTAAAACTTAAAAGTTTAAACTAAGATTTAAAAATAAAAAGTGAAAAAAAAAAAAAAAAAAAAAAAAATATATATATATACCATAGAAATAACAAAAATAAATTAGTATACTTCATAGAAATAACGTAAATAAATTA